CCCATATAATCAGGACAATATGGTTCCAAGATCAATTTTACAGTGCTATACTACATTAATGTTCAGTTAATTTGTCAGCAGATTGGAAATAGATGTAATTCATTTTGGAGGTACGTAGCAGAACTACAAACGTTTATCATTACTGTATTCCAATTTTTACCTTTACAAAAAAAATGCTAAGAGAATGGTTTACTTCAATGACAAAAAGCCAAACTCATAAGAGCCAGGTAATTGTTTTGTAACTTCCTTAAGTCAATGGAATCCAGTTTTGTACTTACACAACTAGAAGCAAAATGTGGCCCATTAGCTGTAAGTTAAATAGTTAATTTGATAACCATTTAATTACAAACTTCATTACACTTTATTTCTTTGTATATTCAATTAACTAAATGCCTCTGGTTCCTAGGACCTAAATGTGCCTCTTTTTGTTTCCTAACTCTGTTCTGTTCAGTGTTTTAAGAATAAACAATTATTCTAAAGCATAACTGTGCTTAGTATTTCTGGAGTATTATCATACTGTTAGGTACTCGGAAAGGTAGCTGAATAATGAACAGAAAAAAGCAATATAAATTGTAAAGACGTGGTATTTATATTAGGATAGTATTTATACATAGATGGATAAACACAAATCTGTAAGACAGTATTGCTGGACTGCAAGGAGATCTATGTCCTCTCATTTCATCAGAGAACATTGCAAATCTTCTTAGAAGTGTCTGGAAATGATGTAAATGAACAATTAGTACGGCCGCCCTGTTCAGAGTGCTGCTATCCTGCCCACTCCTCTCACAGAACCCCCTCACTTGTCTACGCCTCCATCCTCGTCACTCCTTAGCTTGAGGTTCTACATTTTCCAGAGTAAATGGATGCTGCAGAAGGGAGGTACAATTCCCTACAGTCAAATAATCAATACAGATGTGAAGATCGTTTGAAGGCAGCTATGGAATTGTGTCTGCCATTCACTCTCTCTTCTCTCCCCGTTTTTCTAGTTTAATATCAGTAGTGCCAATAGTGTTCTCAGTTCTGCATAAGACAAAGATTTTGGCCTCCTTCTCTAGAGGCTGGTTTGGAGATGCTGCATTTCAGTATGCCAGTCTTTAACCAAATGAAAGGTTATTCAAGCTCCCTGGAGACACTGAGCAATATAAAGAACCTGCCCTCTAAAAATGAAGGGGCTCTTGTTTACCCTCTCCTTAGGATGTAGTGCCTTAATGGACTCACCCCCTGAGAGGGAACCATGTGCATTAAGCAGACTCTTAAGTTTCTGTAAGAAACACACAACGCGCTGGTCATACATTTGAACTCCAGCTAAATAAAAGTCTAAACAACCTACAGAACCAGGATTTTACCTTCATATTTTATGAACAACCATGATTAACTATTCCTGCCTTTTCAGATATATTTTCTAAATTGTGTTTTCCATGGGTCAGAGAGTCTTTTTTTTATGACATCTTACCATTAATTTTGTCATATTACTTTAAGAATTAAATTATTATGCGAGATGAGAAAAGGTACCACCACATCTAATACGTTTTCCTAAAAGGAATACTCCTAAGAATTAGCTATATGCTTTGTAAAAAATGAAAACATAGGAAAACATTCAGAAATTAAATACTGCACTATACGGAATCAACTGAACATGTTTTTACAACTTTAAGTGACCATTAAAATAATGAGCGGTAAATCTAAAAAAAGTGTGAGAATTTGGGTCCTAGAAGTATAAAAGTGGAAGCTGCATGTACGTCAGACTTCTAGTTGATGACAGGACTGACATAGCGTCTGGTGTTTCAAGTAGCGTGTAACAGTATCTAGAAATTACAGGATTAACCAGTTGAAATTCAGCTCCTCTTACCAAAGATGGGAGTAAAGTATGTAATACAGAAAAGATTAGGTGAGGTGAGGGAAAGGGAAAGGGAAAGGGAAAGGGAAAGGGAAAGGGAAAGGGAAGGGAAAGGAAGGGAAAGGAAGGGAAAGGAAGGGAAAGGAAGGGAAAGGAAGGGAAAGGAAGGGAAAGGAAGGGAAAGGAAGGGAAAGGAAGGGAAAGGAAGGGAAAGGAAGGGAAAGGAAGGGAAAGGAAGGGAAAGGAAGGGAAAGGAAGGGAAAGGAAGGGAAAGGAAGGGAAAGGAAGGGAAAGGAAGGGAAAGGAAGGGAAAGGAAAGGAAAGGAAAGGAAAGGAAAGGAAAGGAAAGGAAAGGAAAGGAAAGGAAAGGAAAGGAAAGGAAAGGAAAGGAAAGGAAAGGAAAGGAAAGGAAAGGAAAGGAAAGGAAAGGAGAAGAATTAACAAAGAAAAAGGAGAGACAGAGAGAGAAAATGGTATCTCACCCCTAAGTTCACCATTAGTATTTAGGACATTAAATTGGCACAATATGAAAAAACAAAAGTAAGTACAAAGAATATTTCTTTTACTTCGTAAGTATAAATGTTCTGTATTATCACAATCCATGGTTTGATTCTTGTAGTTACATTAAGAAATTAGGATTCTCTTCCACCTTTTTTCCTCTTTTATCACAGAATTTCATGCAATTTTGAAATAAAATGTGAGGCCACATGAGTGATTCAGTAAGCTCAATATTACTTGTCAAAAGACTAAAAAAAAAAAAAAACGGGAAAAAAACACTTTAATAACCAACCTAAACCAGTCTGACAACCAACCTAAACCAAGCTAAAATAGTATTCAGAATTCTTCAGATTGGGATTTTTTTTTTTTCTTCTTCTTACACTTTTACCCCTTTGGTCAGCACTAACTCAGCAGATCATCATGCAGAAGGTTTCACTGATCTTGCTAACAAAACAAAGGTAGTTTTCTTATACAAATGTTTTTTCTTTAAACAAATTATCCTGTGTTTCAAATCATAAGCACATGTCCCTTTGTCAAGTCACATTCTCATCTACTTTTTCTTACTATAATTTTCCACAGATGATATATCATAGTAGCCACTGAGTGGCTAATCCTAATTCCATTGAAGTTATTATTATTGTGTCCATTCACAAATAGCCCTTTCAGGTGTGTTTCAGGGTAACTATGGACTAAAGAATATTATTTTGCACTCTGCATCCTTTTTTAAGGATTTATCTTCAAGAATGCACTTTCTGAAGGTAATTGATGCCATTTAATTTTTTTCTCCAATAATGGAACTGATAATATATTTTTTCTACTGAAGATGAGAAATTGAAGAGATTTAAATTAATTGTTCTGATTTTAGTGTAGACCCATAGAAAAGTTCTTCATTATCAGTTATTAAGTGTTTGTAGAAAACATGGAACCAGCAGTACTACCAGCCTCAGAAATGGCAGCATCAGAATGCAAGCAAAAACAGGCTGCCGAGGCATTTCTATCAGCTATTTCTTAAAAAACCAAGAAATTCCTGCTCATTTACTCATTTGTGGATGCTGCCTCTTTGTGGCAGAATGCCATGTAAAATGTACTTTTCACATTAAACACCTAATCCTAAATTTGTATTGACACCTATGCAAACTCCTGTTTATGAGTTTAGAATCGCAGAGAAAAAAAAATATATACACATGAACAGACACATACTGTTTGCAGGACCTTCTCATTCAATCCTTACTGAGTTAACCTTTCTCTTAGTGAATGATGAAGCCAGTGAGGCTGAAAATTTTCTTACTTATACCCATTTAACAACAGTGTGCCTCTACTGAGTTTAAATGGAAGGAGAACCAGGCCACTGGTTTCAGCAATGGTTATAAAGGAGGTAATTCAAACTAAGGGCTCCAGAACTGCACCTCAGGCAGCAATACTCACATCTCTTACTAGTGTCAATGGGAAGTCTGCAGGAGATTGAGAGCTGTGCACAGAATAGCCATGTGTTGTGTCTCTAGTGACAAAAGAACACTCCTCATATCTGCATTTCAAACTGAAATAACACTCCACTTACTAAACTGTCCGAGCTAAATACAGTCATTCCTTTTTTTTTTTTTTTTTTTTGCTTTTGCTCAGTGTGGGTGGCATAGAGAGAAGAACACATGCCAACAAAACATTTATCTTGAAATCCAAAGGACCAGTTATATAGCTTTGTTTTTGTAGAAAGTGACAGATTGTACATGGATAGGAAAAGCAGAACGGAACGGAGCCCTTTTGCAATAAAAGATGTACTAGTGAGCAACTCTGCAAACAATACCAAACATGATAACCTAATGAAGAAAGAGAAAACCGCATGTGAAATATCACTTACCCTGTTCCATATATTGAAGAACACTTCATCAAAGAAACAAAATGTAAATATAAAACTATCCTATTCAATATGTTGGTGAAACACGTATCTGTGTGTCACTCTCTGACCCATATTATATATGCTGGTAATTACCATATGTTGTGTTTTGAAAATAGAGAACACATTATGATTTGCCTAAAAATGTTAGATCTTTCTTATGAGCCATAATTGCTAATAAAGAGAATCCAACGCACAAACAGATGATTTTGGCAAGAAATTTTAAACTTCAGATACTCGTTACTTCATGTTCTTACATTTGAAATATTTATCAAGTGTTTATTCAGAAACTATTAAAAAATCACATGTGCTGGGATACATATGAGACATCAGTTGTCCCATCTTACAGTGATGCTGTGTTTATGAATATCCTTGCCATTGCCTGCTGCCCAAAGGGGTAAAGACATTGTATATAGATGTGTACAGTCCATCATTTGGTCTTTCAGGATGCCAGTAAACACGTGGATCTGTACAAGTGCAATTGTACTTTACTAAACAATCAGAAACTGGCTACAACAGTTGTAAAATCATTATATTTTGGTTAACTAAAAAAAAGAAAAAAAGGGGGAAAAAAACCTGACAAATCAGAAATAAAACACTTTTTTTCCTGCTAAAATGAATGCCTTCTACATGTCCCTCACTAGTTTGCCCAACCAGATGCCTGAGCAGGAGGTTGCTAAAAGGTACATTTTTAAATAGAGAAACATTATTTTTTTCTGTTGTGATCGGATTATATGTCTTAGATTGTCTGTTAAGATTTGGTCATAATTGGCATTATCTGTAATGATATAATCCTCCTGATACTACATCAGCTTTGGGAAAAAAGCTCTCAATGTAGTGCAACACTTTAAAGCCATCCGCAGACTTTGGACCCCATCCTGAAAAAAGAAAAAACACTTAAACATCCCAGTAATTTTACTTGTAAGAATAGTTCTGCATCCTCTATCCTAATGTTTTGGGCATTTGACTAACTTTGCTCAATGAGTGAGTTTATGGGACTACACACATTGGTAAAGTTGTTCATGTGCTTAAGTGCCTGCAGGATGAAGGCCTAAGCTGGGACTTCTTTCACAAGTAGAGATACTCAAGTGAGTAAGAATTTGCAGGATTAGGCCCTAAAATAGTGAAGGAAAGAGAAATGCTAATGTGCATATAAAAATAGGTGCTACAATAAAATATTTTTTTTATATTTCATCAATAAGTTATTTTCACTAACCAGTTATGGATCATATATCTCTGCACTCTTTAATGATTTGTCCACATCTACAGTGATCCTTTTAAAGATCATAATATATTTTTTAATTCAAAAGTCCAGAAAGCATACAAACACATCCTTAAAAAAAGGAAACCTTGTATTAAAGTCGGGGTGTGCTAATCTCTCCATAAAAGCCATTTAGACTCACCCATGGCTAAAAGGGGAAAATGTGCGCTGTACTCTTCAACCAGAAAGAAAACAAAATAAACAATGTCTGTACAAAAAGAAAAAAAAAAGTGACCATGACTTTTGTACTTGTAACCTGAATATGACCTGGCAAGACCCTCCTGCCACCTTCCCCCAGCACACATGGACACACGCACAATACCAGTGTTGTGCCCCATTTACACAATAGGTGGTTTCCTACTTCCAAACACAGTAAAAGAAAAAAAGAAGGAAAAAACCTCCACACAAACTGAAAATAAAATAAACAGCACACCCTTTCAGAATCATTCCCCGAAGCTGAAAAATCCTGTGCCAAGGCACTTCACCCTACAATAACATGAATTAAAGGGGGAAAAAAGGAGTG